AAGTCATTGTATCATTTGGTATAAAATGGAAAAAATGAAGTGAGTATCTGACGACTGTTTTGAGTATTATATTGATCCAAATAGTCTCAAACATTATGTCCAGTTTTCTGTGTTGTAGTAAAATCAAAATAGTATCATAATACTGTGAACTTTATACCAGAAGTATCAAATACAGTATGTTATATACTTCCTTGAGGAATTACAAAGGGCATTGTCGTCTACAAACTATCAGGTCTTCACTCAGCAGGAGGCCCTGAGTAATCACTGCCTCTATTCACCCCACAATAATGCGTGTTGCTTAGTCTACTGTGTGTCTGTCTGTGTCCTCTGTGACTGAACTCGAAGCCCTGCAGGTCCTGCAACATGTCTCCTGATCTGACTGTAACCAGGTCTGCTTTTAATATGAGCCACTGTGACTAAGAATAAAAATACTGTGCAAATATTGATGTTCTTTAAAAGTGGAATGTTTCCTTGCAGCTATGTCTGTTTTAAGTGATCATGGTATAATTGAAGGCTTTATTTATGGTCTTTGAAGTTTGTGCTTTCCAGCAGAGGCACATTTGCATAATATTTACATTGGTAAAACGCAGACTTTAAACCAGTTCAACAGGATGAGACGAATGCAAATATTGAACTTGAATTTCCATGTTGTAATAGAAGGTGCCCCCTGTGGGCCCACAACACTGGCGTACCATTTTTCATTTGTTTAGCTCTATACTGCCCCCACGTGGTAGACAGGAGTCCAACTGAGGAGAGTTGAGGAGGAGACGAGCAGCAAAGTGAAGTCAGTGTCTTCAGAGGAGGGAAACAGACATGAGGGTCGACTCAGTCTCCAGGTAAGTTGTGATTTGGGTGCAATGGCTGCAGGATCTAAGTAACTTCACATTGGACATGTTGGCAATATTTGGATTTTTGTGCAGTTTGTATGCAAATTTGACCTTTGTTCAAATGAACAAAGCCCTAAACAGAGATGGATTCATTACTGTTGTTGTTAATATTATTGATCATCATTGATAAGTTGTACATGCTTTTAACTTGTTGTAGTTTTTTTGCTGTGGACTTTAAATATACATGGGGCAAGACATGGCAATTTCATCTATAAACACAATGGTGCTGTACAGGGATATTAAAAAAAACAAGACAGAGACCAAATGAAAGGAAAACAATTTAAAATCAGTTTAAACATAAGTTTTATTGTAATAATGTATACTTTGTTATCCTCTCATCTAACAGTTTTATTCAAATAACAACATTACATACTGATATAAATACTTAATAAAAATAAATTACAAAACGACAAAATGAAGTATTGAAGAGAGAAGCTTGTAAAGAACACGTGTCAACTTCGAATCCCACTTGACTCGCATTGAATAAGAATGTGTTCCGGCTCTAAACAGCTGCTGACACTGATTAGTGAAGGGAATTAAAACTTTTTTACGCTTTAATCGCTCGGATGCTGCGACCAATGAAAATCACGCTGAAATTGACAGCCGAGGTGCATGGCGGGAGATGTAGTTGGCGCGTCGCCGGCAGCCCGTCCGCGGCGCTGTTGCTCGCCGCCGCGCAGGACTACAGAGCCGCGGGTCCCGGACAGAGGCGTCCGGCGGTGACAGCGGTCGGTGCTGGAGCGAAGTACGGCGGCACAAACACCCGTCTTGCCCCGGGTTCCTTTCCCGCTCCGCGTCTCCCTGAAACTTTGACATCCGACATCATGCAGGCCGAGTCGGGGATCGTTCCCGACTTCGAGGTCGCAGAGGAGTTCCAGGAGGAACCGAAAACCTACTACGAGCTGAAGAGCCAGCCGCTGAAAAGCAGGTCAGTCCTCCGGCTGTGGACAGTTATTTCCCACGCTGCAGAGGTTTTGGTGTTTAGGTGATAATTAGTCCGCGGAGAGTTTTTCCCCTCTCCTCCCCGCGGGATGTTGGAGGAGCTGGTCCCGGCCTCTGAGCTCCGGGCTCAGCCCAAGTGATTCTCCTGCTGCCGTGAAGTTATGCAACACTTGGGTGTTGTCTTGTCAACATCAACTTCAAATATTAGCTCGAAGAGGAGCAGAGGAGCAGAGGAGCAGACAGGTCAGAGGTGGACGAGATGCTGCCCTGCTCCTCTTCTCATGGTCAGAGGAGCAGCACGAGGGGAATGATGTGTGGGGGTTTTAACTTGGAAGAAACTCTAATTACAATATTTTTTTAGAATAGATTAAAACAGTAATTAGAATTAAGTTGAGTAGATTCAGGTGAAAAAAAACTGTGGAGCAGGTTTGGAAATTCACGGTCAAACATAATAATTGCTATTTTAAAATTCATCAACACAACAGACACAGCTCCCGGAGAGACACAATCTGAGTTTGAATTAAGTGGATTCATTGGATTGTTATTATTATTAGCTTATTATTACATCAGACGATAAAATCAAAATACGGACAAAAAATAAATCGAGATAAATGTCGATATCAGTGATTATCACGATAAATCTCACATTGTCATGATTTATTTTAAGTTTAACGTCAGATTTTTGCAGACTCAGAAAATGACGCTTTACAAATCTGAGGTCGATCACTGATGTCTTAATGTGTTTGCACAATGCAAAAGCTTATATTGCTACAGATGAAAATTATATTGCGATAATTAATGATGTCGTTGTAATGCCCAGCACAAGTCTAACATGAGGATATTTCTATATTCTGCATGTTGATGATGTCCTGACAGAGCAAAGCTGTTATTATAGAATACATGAATCAATAGCTAATATTTCCTCTGGCCTCTCGGGACAGGAACACAAACACTCTGCAGCACTCAGAGTTATTAGAAAGCTATTTTCAGCTTTGACACATTGAGGCCTCTCCAAGCAATCAACATTGAGCTGAGTCAGGTCGGCGGGGGTCTGGTTTGACCTTTCACCCCTTTTCTGGAAGTGCAGTGAGTGAGCCGTCTGATATGTGTGTTTGTGCACGGTGTTAAATTCAGATGCTGTTATCTGTCTGGTGGTTCAGGAGGTCGTTACATCAATACTTGGTGTGTGTGTGTGTGTGTGTGTGGGGGGGGGGGGTTTGTTGATGAAATATCAGTATCACTTTCATATCGGTAAAATAAGTAAATATGCTGCAGCAAGCAGACGCCATCTTCGCTTAGCATGAGAACTGGGAGTAGGGGGGGAGGAGCTACCCTGGATCTGTCCTAACTTAATCTTGATCTTTAATCTGCCCGAAAATAAAACAACAAAGTGTAATTAGAGATGTTCTGATACTGATATCAGCATTAGAAATACCTCTTGATGTTGAAAATGCTTAATTTCCCCTAAAATCACTTCTTCTTCTCCAAAACAGCAGTTGCGTTGTTCTGCCAATAGCAAGTACTGTTTTTAGAGCTGCTGCAAAGAAGTGATATCTGGCTGCTGCAGCGTTAGCTTGAGCTAGCTAAAATGTCAGCTTTTTTTGTGTGCAATATATCAAGCTGGAAAGTCCCACAAGTAAAAGTGAGATGTGAAGCAGCGAAAGACTTCAGTTTCGAGCTATTTAAAGGTTGTGTTTGTTGTGTATTCTTAGAGTTGTTTATTCATATTCAAAGTTATGACCTTCAAACTAGATAAGTTTAACCTGAGCCAGGTCGTATAGCACACAGCTGTTGAAATTATGTAAGTTGTTATTTTATTTATTATTTCTAATGCAATGGTATCGATATCGGCCAATACCCAAAGTCCGGGTATCGGTATAGCGAGGGGAAAATGCCACAAGAACATCTCTAATTGTAATTTTATAATATGTCATGTGCCAGACTTCTATAATTTGGCCAGACGAGGTTATTTCCTGAAGTCTCTGCTGTTTGTGTGACACCCTCAAAATCCCTGTAAAACCACACATTGTTGTGTTCACATTTAAAACTCACCACTTTGCCTGCGTGCTGATGACAACACATCTCTCAGCAGAATTCAGTGTGATTATCTGTTTATTATCTATTTTGCGTGTGTCAGAGGTGGTAATACTTGGCCTCATTGTGAGGGTGAGACGTGTGGAGGACAGTACACCACTGTGCTCACACAGAGCTCTTATTGCAGATGTTTGGTTGACTCCTCTCCTATTTTATTTTTTACGCTCTCTGGCTCTCGACATGTTGTTGCAGATTCGCAGTTCATCTCCACTTCTCTAAAATCAGCCAAAACACGAGGCAAGGAGCAAAACCATCACGTACAACAGTCCCAACCTTTAACCCAGTTCTGCATTTTTTAAACTAATTTCTTCATTAGCGAAATGCCATTACACTGTTACATACACACAGGCTGTCTCTGAGCTGGCAGAGCCGCAGTCAGACCCGGTGTAACTGAAGCTTCAGGAGAATCACAGATTCTTTTCTTTTCTTGTGGAATAATGTGAAGTTGTGTTGCGTCAATCGAAGGTGTCCCACTTCCTCTTCCCGTCACATGAGGATGACCCAGCACAGTAATAATAGTCACAATGACTGTGTTGTGAGACATTGTTGCGCACAGTGTTTATAATTAGTTAGAGTGATTACTGATTTGTGTGACGTCTCGTCATGGCTGCCCCCCGCTGTTTCTAGATTTCATATCTGAAGTGTGACAAAATGTGATCTCAGCTTTCGCGGGTCTATTAGTTTTTCTGCATGCACGTCGTCTCGACGGCGCTCTGAGGCTGCTGCAGACGATGTGCCAGATTTTTTGTGCCTAATATAGATGTGAGACAGGCGATGAAACTGGTCGTCTATGCAGTGTAAATAAGCTGTATAAATTTAGCAGTGGATGTGTTATATCTGAGAGTTAGAGGGGGATCATTTTGTTTGCAGGAATACTTGACATGTAAATCCACTGTAAATATTTATGCTGCAGTCATACTGAGGCTAAAAGTCTTAAAGACCTGTGTCGTGCTTTTGTAGTTCATGAGGTAACGTTCGACAGAAGCTGTGAATTGTGCAAGATTTTTATTTGAATCCACGTCGTTCCTTAAAATGAGACTTTACAGGAGCATTAAAGTTTATTCTCATATAAATAGAAAGACGTGCAAGAGCTTTGCTTGAATATGAAAATGAACAAAATTGTGTTGTTGATCAGGAAATATTCATATATATAAGACTAAGATCAACAATCTGATGGCAGCTTCCACAGCTGGACAGTAGAGCCCGACTGATATGGATTTTAGGGATTGATGCTCAGACATTTTTTCACAGTGTTTATTTCTTAAAATAAATGTTTTCATATATCGTAAATTGCTACTTGACCGACATCAAGTGCAGCTTGATGTTCTACTCAATAATCTTTCAGAAGAACGAAAGTAAAAACATAAACTCAAAGTTATGTTAATGCAGAGTTAAGTACTTTCTCAACTGTTTATGAACATTTGTATCACTCTTGCTCTTTCCACACCTGGACTATGAGACTGAGAATCATGTAAAAGCCTGTGTTTATATATATTCTAGTCTCAATGACCAGTTCACCCATTCACACACACAACTCACACACTGCTGGGACAGATGAGGGGCAATTTGGGATTCAGTGTCTTGCCCGAGGACACTTTGGTAGACTGGGATTGAACCACCAAATTTTCAGTTAGAGGACGACCTGCTTGAGAATTGCATTAGAAAATAATCAACCTGTAATTAAAAAAAGATGAGTATTAAAACCTGTCTATGAATTATAGTGCAATTTAACAATAATAACATGGATTATTGCTTCATGAGCTGTGACACCGATGATCTGTGATCTCTGTCAGCCTCTGTTGGTGACCAGCAGGAACTGCAAAACACAGAGAGCGCCACCTCCACAGGTTTCACCCTCACCTGTTATTGACACAAGTCTTTTAAGAGTAAACAAACATTAGCATCATTATATGTCAAAATTAATTTATGGCTTAAACTGTTAGTCTGCAGGGTCATTTCTTGTTAATGTGCTAATTTTATGGCCTGTGAAACATTAGAAAATAGTAAAATACCCAATGAAATTTTTAAATTGCTTGCTTTGACAAAGCCAAACCCCAAAGATCACACAAGACAAAGAAAAGCAGAAAATCCACACAATGAAAAAGCTGAAGCCAGTTAATAATTTTTGCGAATTGATTCAAAATAAAGTGAATATACGTTGATGTTTGCTGTCTGTGTGAAAAATAAGCTTGTTGCTCTTCTCCTGTAGTTAAACATTTTCTCTAAAGGTCTAGAAAGGAACGTTTGCTCACTGTGTGTAAATTAAGGATTAGTAGTATTGTCCCGCTATGAATCATAACCATAGGTTCTTGAGGACGACAATGTGCTTTTTGACTATAATCACCACCTCTGAGGAAAATCGAGTTGCGTGAAAAGCCGCTCTCTTGTGTTTGTACAAAATTACGACGTTATTGACATGAACTTGAGAACCTTATGGACTCACTCAACCTGCTCCAGGAAAGCGTATTGAAATCCTTCCCCTGGGACGAGTGTCCTTGGATGCTCTGTTTCCCCCTTGTTAAAGCACAAAGGGAGGAGAGGGAGCAGGAGCACACCGTCCTGCTGAACACGAGTAAAGGTTATTATGGAGGGTTCAACACCTAATTATAGAAATAAAACCCGGCAAGTTCAAGTTATTCCACCCGGTGCTGGCTCCCAGCTGGAAATACCATGCAAAGACCCTGATTATCTCTTTGGATGCTTTAACAGCTTACCCTGCTTTGTTTTGCTCCGGCATCTGAATTTCTCCAGCAGCAGTGGTAATTAGCAGGGAAGATGGCTTTAGAGAATTTATTCCAGTGTTTGTTTGAAGGAAATGATGAATTTGTTATAGAAAAGGCAGCATAGTTAATCGTGATGGTTGGGTTGGACTTTTTACATTTAAATAATAAG